AGTTTTGCCTTTTCCTCTGTAACGTCTAAAAACAATCAATAAAGATCTCATAAATTCTCTGTTATATCCTTTAACTTCATAAAACTTTGATTCTATGTAGCGATAGCCGCTTGACCGTCTGTTCATCGTCTGTTCATGTTTGCAACACTCACGAGCGCAAGGGAATCAGGATAGGGATAAAAACCTTATATACATTACCTTAGTAAATGACCAGAGATCAAATTTGAAAAATGATATAATACAACTACAATGAAATGATAGAAACCGTGAATTGCAATCCATGATAGACATTCATCAAAAACTTTAACTATAAATATTTACACGAGTCGTCTTAAGAATTAAGATAATACAAAAGGAACTTTCTTCCTTGAAGGATGGACATACAATATCAGTTTGTCCCCTCTGTTCGCTTATAACTTTTAAAAATCGAAGATAGATATATATATTGCTGTAAACACATTCAAAATCTTTGTTGACTTTACCGTCACGCCATCGATCATGTTTTCTTCAAAATCTCACGAAGCGTACCGCCTTAGCTGAAATCCATACAACAAGTTTTAGAGTGTGCTACGCAACCGTAATCATGGTTAAGATTATGTGGTGAGTAGTAAAGATTCGCCTTAACGTACATATAGTTCTCTTATTTTTTATTTTTTATTTTTTTTTTGTTTCATTTCTTGTTTTATCGTTGAATCTCAATTTTTTTCCTTTTTTTGCATTTTTCCAAAGTTAATAAAGCGTAAACTAGGATAATGGGCCGCGCTTGGGGTCATCCATTATATACCAGAAAATTGAAATGAACCTGAGATTGAAATATTAATTGTTGTTGTTTTTTTTTTTTTTTTTTTGCAAAGTTGACGACATACCACAAAAACATGCAATTATTAAAATAAGTAAACTTTCACGCTATTAAAGTCGGAAAATTTCCTTTTTTTTTTTTTTTTCCTTTTGTTATCTATTCATCGAACTAAAAAGAGTAATAAAAAATATGCGTGCATTTGATAAATTGTTTATGCATTAACAAGTTATGCATATATATATATATATTAATCGAACAACCACTAATCACCATATTTCATATAATGAATGTTATTGTTTATTAATATTTCAAGTGACGTAACAAGAATGCGAATCGATAATTATTGATATAAATATATTGACTTTTCTAAGCCGTATATATTTTAATAAAGTAGATTGTCTGAAAAGTATCCGGATTAAGAATGAAGATAATAGGACATGCCCACAATAGTTGGGAAATATATTTATGCATGCGATTGCTTGAATGGATCGATGTGAAGGTTCTTATCAAAATGAAAGAAATATTGAATATCGGATTGCCATTAAGTGTTTGCTTTTCAAAGACAATACACTCTGTATCATCATTTACCATAGTACACTTTTGGCTAATTGACTTAAAATATGGTGTTCTCGGCTTGGGTGCACGGCCATGAACTGGCAAATTGGAATTGGCAAGAATTATAATCACTCAATGACAACATCGTTCAAGCTGACTACAAGCGACATAATGCTAGACGGTCACCAAATTAAGTAGAAGCTATTAACATGTCCAAAGGACATATATGTTACATATTGATAAAAGATTTTCGGGCAATAGTGCGTGTCCATGGGTCGTCGCATTTGCTCACAGTGGAACATCGAGTTACAAGACGGCGGCCTAAGTGCGATCAACTATTAACTGCTGATGAATTTTAACAAGGAACAAAGTTGTATTCGGCGGAGGCCGAATCTCGCATACCCACCGCCAGGGTTTTTCGCATTCTTCTCGTCAAGTTCAACAACCAAATATGTTTGTTAAGAGAAACAAAATTGCGTTCAGTTTAGGCTACGACCACTTTAGCCCATTTTCGACACCAAGGTGCGTGCAGAACCTGCCAATATTTCTACCGAATTTGAAGTCGGTATCTTCATTTTTGCGACCAAGAGAGCGCCAACAACTATGTACCACACCGAAACACAGACGGACGGACATGGCTAAATCAATTCAAAATTTCACGCTGATTATAACGTTTCATATATTGTGAAAAAAAAAAACAAATGCTGCATAGATATGCTGCATAAAAATGCATTGCAAGAAAAAAGACTTTAACGAAAGCTGCCATCATGTTAAAGAACCCTTGCCCCGATTGTATTGAAGTAAACTACGTTGATCGATTAAGTCAAACTTCACTAAAAAGGTGTTTAGCTTTTACCTACGTTTGAAAAGTTTTCAGCCTCGTAGTCCTCGTCTGTGTAAGGAGGTGTTGGGAAAATTAATTTTGTAATCTGCCAGAGATACACTAAATAGTTGTTTCTTCAAATTTGTGGTTTCTTTCTGCAACCTATGAGTCAACTTTACATTCGGTCGCATTGATTGAAACATTGTGGACCACCTTACCGACATCTACACAAATTTTTGAATTTCCATATCCATGGAAGGCTCGAAAGCTCTATACAAGCTGGCCTACATAATCAGACCGTCTGTCTATTCTTCTTCTTTGCTTGGCCTATTTTTTGCAGAAATTCATCCCATATATATCCAAATGAAAGTTTCAAATGTGCTAGGCAACGAAGGAAAGACGAAAAATATGCTGCCTAAAGTGACTTCTGTCCGCTAATGTTAATCAGCCTAGAGAATTAGTATTCATTACTTTCCTAACAGCAAGCAAAATGTGAAGAATCATCTATGAATCAGCAAAGAAGAAGGATGATCGTGCGGTTCATGACATGTTCACTTCGTGAGAAGAGTTGAAAGAACCAAAACATATATCATCACGACATGCCTACATAGTTTGGCCAGCAAGGATCCAATTTGATGCGATCGGCAGCAGCAAAAAATGAATAATGAAAAATGAATCGCCATCCGCGACTCACTTGCATGACGTGACGGTAGTAGTCAGTGGCAACGTCACAGTGTCTCATTTGCTTCGCGTCTGCACAATTTCAAGCGAGGAGGAATGCTATTGTAATTAATGCATTTATTTATTGAAAAAAAGTAACAAAAGAATTCAATGAAATACACGACAGAAATGAAAAATTTTGAGTAACATGACCTTATGTGATACGATAAATCAACGGCTGAACTGAAAAAACATAGTGAAACAACAAACAATCATTTCAGTTCAATTCGTTCCAACAGATACGGACCTTTTCCGCTGCAATATGTGTTCACAGTTGAGAGGGAACATGCAGGGAGCAAGCAGGAAATTGCATTCGTGACAGGGATGCACCATTTTATCGTAAGGCAACAAATCGGTACGACTTCAGAGTAGCAGTTAGAAATCAGAAGACCTTTTGATGGTAGCAACAAGGAAGAAGATAAATGATATCATTTATTACTCGTCTGTCAGTCGCCAGTTTAAGGTTAGCAGTCGGAAAAACGAAAACAAACCTTCTAAGTTAAGCTCGCATCTGTCCGTCCAGCTAATTTCGAACTTCAAAAGAGACTAACCACTTCGGTTTCTAATCATAGTTTATATCGTATTTTGCTTAACGTAAACTTAAGATACAAAGTGTGGGACGAAATTGAGAATCATTCTTAGGCCATCAATATATTATTTATAAACAATTTTAAATTTCAACAAGTGAAAAAATTGTTTTCCATGGTGACCGAATCTTTCACACCCATCATCGTTATCCTAAGAAAGACTAAAAAAATGAAATGAACTACATTTTCATACTCAATAATATTGGATGGGCGCGGTTGATTTTTTCGATTTTCAGCAAATTTTTCTATTTATAGTAAGCAAAAAGCCCCGAAAACAAAGTTACTCACTATTTTTTCTACGTGGGTATGTGAGCGCTGAAGGTGGGTCCTTTCACTGGTTTAGATCGTTTTCACTTTCTTTTGGAAATTTGTAGATGACGTCTTCATTTTTGCGCAGTTGGACGGATGGACACATGGACATAGTAACAGACGGACATGCTAAGGTGCATCCCGAATTTGAAAATATCCAAGAATTTATATAGTTTATGGGACTTCTGAAGCTTGTTTCTGTCCGTTTAAAACTAACACATACAAGAAAGTTGAATAGGCCCGACTGATATTTTCAATTTTGTTCGAGGTACTTCAGGATCGCCCATAGAATATAAATTGCAAATTTTTGTGAATTTATTTGCTTTAGTTTACGATTAATGATTAGAAAAGCAACTTTTTTTCAGATCTGTCCACACTTTACATAGTACTGTAGGTGTGTCCTCAAACCGAATTGACCCGTTTTCAGTACCAACCCGCACACACAAGAACTTCCGATGGACTAGAATGTTTAAAGCAGACATTAAGTAGACGGACAGACGGACATACTTCAGAATCGATTAAGAATTGTTGTTGCTGATCAACAACATATATACCTTATTGGATCTTCTGGGCGTGTATACTAAATGAATATAGCGTTTAGCCTTTTGTGACGGAGATAATAAACGATTTTGTAGTTATTAAAATCTTATATAAAACATAGATTAATTAATTCAATTCATTTAGGGTTTTGCCTCTTTTCACAGCGGTATCCTCAACGTGAAATAATATTGTTGATTTTACTGATGAAATATAAATATGAAAATATTAAATATTTTTAAAAAGAATAAACATTTAATACACAAAAATTGTTTTACTTTAATTTTTATTTTTTTTTACTTTTTTTTATTACACATTTTAAAAAAAATGTCCTTCTTTATGAATTAAAATAGTAATTTAATTCAATTGAATCAATTTTTCTAATTTTTTTCTTTATTCACATGAACATAATTTATAATCACTCATACGTCATGTGATTTTCTACGTAACTATTAATATTTACTTGTTATTGCTGCAATTGTATAGAATAATATTTAGAAGAGATAAGTGCAAAAGTCACCTTAGAATAAAATTTTCTGGGTTTTTTCTTTTTTCAATTTATATTTATTTATATAAGTTTATAAAAATCGTATTCTCTTCGAAGCCAACATTTTTAATATTTATCATTATTTTCTCCTTTTTTTTTTTTTCTTTGCAATTCTTTTACTAGTACTCGATTGCCAAGTTAGTGACTGGGGTCAATGGAGTGAATGCAATGCGAGTTGTGGTACCGGTATAATGACACGAACACGTAAAATTTTGCAATCACCCCAGAACGGTGGTAAACATTGTCCGACTTTAATGCAGAAACGTGGCTGTCAAGGATATCGATGTCACGGACATCATGATAAGAAAATCTTAAGAGGTACGTAAAAAGTAGAAACTAAAAAAATAAAGAGAAATAAAAAACTACTTATTCTTTATTAACGATTAGATGAAAAAAAAGATTTATACACTTTTTGTGCATAATCATACAAACAGAATATTTAGTCTTCATATTATACCGTTTTTTTTGTTTTTTTTAAATACAAAAATATATATCACAATTTTCTACAACATAATACTAAAAGTAAGACACCATTTATAATCATAATAGCAATGATTTCAGCACCGTTGTTGGTTGTCATTTAATAAAATGAATGCATTTTTAATTAAATCCGACAACAACACCAAGATTCTCCTGTGTGGATTGTGTATGCTCCATCCGAGTCACGATAGGAAGCACGGCATGATGCCAAACTATTCGCTGTGATTGTTGTTGCTGTTAAAATTATTGTCATAAAGCTTAAACATAGATTTATGGTATTTAACCATAAAAGATGATTTTTCGTTTTTTTACTTGCATAAAAAACGATTTTCACTCTTATGACTCTTATCGGAATTAATATACACGACGACTATATGAGCTATAACTTTACTTTGAGTTAAAAAATATATTCGTGATATTTATTATTAAGCTAATCAAAATGTGATCACGTACACGCCTCCTCCCAAAATTCGACCATGAATATGAAAAGTCAAAAAAAAAAAAAAAAAAAAAAAATGAAAGAATATATAGAAAAGATGTAGGAAAATTGCATTAGAAAAGTAAGAAGAAGAATATTAACAAAACTTAAATAATCCGCAATAAAATTGTTTTAAGAAGAATAAACCTTTATCGTTACTGCAAGTGTGTGTAGGTTTGTGTTTGCGCATATTTGTGATGGTAAATGTTAAATGTAACTTACTGCTGGTTTACTTATGCTTTTATTAAAGCTGTTAGTTTAATGACTTTATACCCGCAGGCATAACACACAAGTCTCTCAATAACATTTCTCTACTCTTACTACTATCATCACTATAACATTACTTTCTCTCATATTCGTTCAACAGCATAAGCTTAACAGAATAAATTGTTGCTAAACAAGGCTGCAGTAAACGAAGAAAGAAATTCTATCCAGTTATGGTCGATTGTCTAATACCTTCGTAAATAATCTTTGATTGTAAAGTAGAGCGATTATCTTATCTTATTCTTGTAACGCATATCACGCAAATCGTATATAATTGAAAATATATTTTTATAAAAATTGATCGCGATTTATAGACAATGCATCTATATGCTGAAACCAATGTCTTTTTCATTAACATATGATTGATTTCATAGTAATTTTCAGCGAATAAAGCGAATTTTCAAATTCATGTTTGAAATTTTAAAATAAAAGCTCAGACATGATGGAATATCATTATTATTATTATTATTTTAGTTGTTTTTTTTTTTTTTTTTTCGGATAATTTTCAAACCAATCGATGCATTGATTTCGTTGATTACGTTTCCCATTAAACTTGACGAGCGAAAGGAAAGAGAAAAATTGTAAAGATGTAAAATATATTATGGCATTTGCGATGCGTTCTAAACATTTAGCAATTTTAGTATACCCTATGTGTTGGCTATAAAAATGGAAAATATTCATTGAAAAAGAAATCACGAAAGAGGTGATAGAGAGCAAACAAAATGCAGTTACACTAAGAATGAAAGTCTCCGAGTTAAAGTGAAGTTTAAATGCCTGTTAAGCAACCTTCGCTTACGGTCTATATAAATATACCATAAATATAATTTGCACTTTTACTTTAACAGGCAGTCGAGTCAACACAAATAGCAATAACAACAGCAACTTAAAATGCAATACAATCGCAACTCTAACTGTAAAACAGCAACAGTAACAATAAAAAATGAAGCAAAATTGTAGCAATCTTTCTCTAATTGATACTAGTGTTAGTTGAAAAAAGTTGAAAAAAAAAAAAAAACCAACAACAAGAACAACAACAACAACAAGAAAATAAAAGAAAGAAAGAAAGTAGAGCAAAGTGCACATACATACACACACACACACACACATTGGTATTTCTGCACATAATATATACTTTGCATTTACATGCGTTATACGCAACTATAAGCATAAAATAGTTGATTTTGTTCAGCCATTTTGTTTACTGTATAAGCCATTATTGTGTTTAATATAGACTGAAAGTATACCGAGCGAGCAGAGCAAAGCAAACAATGCAAATAAAAATAAAAACATATTAAATATGAATTTTTTTACAAAGCGTTTTATAAAATAAATTTAATGTTAATTAGAGTTATTTTTTTCTTTTTTTATTATTTCATATAAAAATGTTTATTAAAAGTTTATATCATAAAGTCGAAAAGAAGAGAAAACATTGCAAGCTTCGCATGCACGCTGAAACTCACCAAATTAAATTCAAAATGAATCAATTACTTACTTGCCTTTATTAGGCTATCGGATCTCTGAGCATATCATTCAAAGGAAATCTTTTTGCTTTTTCATTCATTTGAAATCCAGGAGATCCAGCAATTAGGTTAGGGAGAAAATCAGTTAATGTTTGATTTATTAACAATATACATACGGTGATGGGTAGAAAAGATTTGGTCGCGGTCATATATAATTTTCTTGCTATCGGCAATCAATCGGCAAAATTCGAATTTTCATTTCTTGATTAAACTTTACTTTTTGATAGAGACCCAGCAAGTCCTGCAAAAGTGCCGCGACAACGCTTCTCTCCTGAAGTTGAAACCCTTTTTAGATGGTTGGCTGACTTCAAACGCGATCCCTGATATTGAAAGGAGCGGATGCCCCAAAAGGTGTCTATACCCTGAATGCTGTTATTGATAATAGAAAAATGAAATTGGCAGGCATAGCTGACATCTCAGAAGTAACGAAAGGCGTAGTATTCATAATTTTGCCTGAAAATTTGGCCATAAGGAAGATATTTTCCAAATGGGTAGCGCATTCATTCAGGATTGATCAAATTCACGGTATCGCAATTCGATTATTGCTATGGCAAAATATTATGAATGGCAGTTCGCATTGCTGCGCTCTCGTAATCCTCATAGCCTCGAGATACGATTTATAAATAATTTATGAAATGTTTTGTAACAAATTGTCTTGGACATATTAAAGAGTCGCTGAATTGGTTCACTCTTACGGGCGGAGGCTTCATTGGTCATAAAAGCAGAATTTTGGGAAATCATTCGTCAATGTTTTATTTCAATTATTTCTAAGGAGTAATTTTTGAAAGCATCGTTGCTTTCAATTATATTAACACACTTAGGGCAAAAAAAAAATTCAATTTATACGAAATTTTTTTAATTCATTCAATTATATCCTGCACCATCTACGGTATAGAGTACACGACTGTTATGCGGATTTATGTGTCACGTACAATAATTTTAACTATAGCCACATACTCAGAATTATCATCTAAATCGATGTAAATCTGTCCATTTAGTCTGTCCAAGAATATGATTGAAATTAAGCAAACCAATGCGGTTCAAGATGCTATTTTTCAATTTTCGTCATGAAATCCTAAAGATCACCTCTTGTTACCATAAAAGATTTGAAATTATGAACAGTTTGTTCGTGAGCCTTAACCAAAAGCCATTGTGAGAAGTTACGTTGAAATATATCGCAAATTGCAGCAAAGTGCCTGCACAGCTAACGGATAATCAGACGGGCGCGGAAACGTAAATCAATTCAGGATATGATACTGAATAGATTCGTATAATATAAATACCACTTGGATCGACCTTAAGTAATTCTGGATATTGCTGTTTTTGTATTTCTGTATCACGAGTAAGGGGCATAGGATGTAATAAACGCTAACCAATCAAATCATTATTTCAATACTCAACGAAAGATGAAAACCTTTTTTTGACATTTGAGATTTTTTACGAAACACACATACGATACGTGTGGTTGATTGTCTTTTTCACATAGAACGTCTAAGGTAACGAATACGAACGAATGTAGCGTACATTCGATAATGTACTAGAAAGTGTAAAAATTTTCATTCACAATTAATGTGAAGCTAACATCCGCAAGCCAATGCTTCGGCTCTGTTTTTGCTTTTATATAAAGTCATTCATTTCGTGGTCCGGATTCACTGACGTTATCTAAAGCGGTATTGCCTATCATTCAGGTCGTCAAATGCTTAGTGTAATCTTTGCCATGTTACAGTATGGATCGTTTAGCAAACGCCGAACGGGTTAAAATAAAAAAAATTCACTAAAAAGGTGTGTGAACAAGGGCCAAATAATCGTCCATCTAAGCATATTGCAGAGCAAAACTGTCAAGAAATTTATTGAAACTGCATCTGTAACAGATTTATTAAGTCCCACACTTCACCGAAACGGAAGTTCGACGGAATATAATATTGATGCGCTTAGTGAAATGGCCGCAAAAAGACGCAAATTTATTCATTACACGGTACGCATGCCATTCGGGCTTATCTTACGGGACATTATGACGTATTTTGCTTTTGGTTTTGCATTTCTATCCCTAAAAAGTTCAGCTAAGACCACTAAGGCACATTTTCCCCTTGATGAATATGTCAATAAACAAAATTGACGTAACTGTGATAGTGAAAATCTACAAATAACTGTAGAAAAAAGCATTACAATCCCGCAAAAATCAAATGTGGTGTTTGCGTGTAATCGAAATGACCCGAGCGACAATTCATTCGCTACATCCACATGATTACCCCTTTTTCTTGGCACGAGATAGAGAGAGATATGTGGTTTTAACAGAATGCTGTCAGAAATCATACAACGCGCTCCGCTTGGTGAGAAATTTCGCGGACATATGATATCATATTTTGCTAATGTGGATTGGCCGCCTAGATCGTACGAATCCGTATCGCTGAACTTTTTTTTTGTAGAAAAAAAGCAAAGAATCGAGTTTTGAAAACGAATATGGCCGCGCTTTCTGCAGACAAGTCATCGAACATGATCCAGTCGTATTAGATATCCCATGAAGGACAATTGTATGATCGCGAATGGCATGAATAGGAACGCGATTCGTAAAATATATTTGCAAAACAATTTGATCCGAACCCTAATCAGAAATGCGTTATATTAACTTTTATTTTCGGAACCACGAAATGACTAATCCTTGCAAAGACTAATAATTTTGTTCATAGTCTTTCGACTTAATCTTATAATCTTTCCAACTGTAAGTAAACTGCTACGAGAAGTATATAGACGCTATAGACGCTATTGTGATTCCGCCAGATAGACACAAATGGACCGATATTTCAAACAATCTTCAATCGACCTGCAATCTATATATTATTGAAAATTTCCAGAACTAAGTATTGCCTACGAGATGCAAGTTAATCTCTATTAAATGTTATAAAAATTTTAATGAAAAGCGTTCGCAATGTTTTTTTTTTTTTTTTTTTTTTTGAGTTTTTTCAAGGAAATGCGACAACAGTAAAAACAAAATCCTTTGAGTTTAAAAAAGCTACGATTACAACGATTACATTAAGATTTTAATGCGGTTAAACATACACAGCGAACAAACAAACAGCATGCATGCATAGAATGCGTATTAATGCTTACACATACATAGAAGAGAGTACCTCACTCGCATATGTTTGAACATGTTCGTCGAATGCAATGTGTAGCCATTAAACATACACAAGTAAAAGCTCATTAACGTTTAGAAACTCTCTTGTGGGGATGGGGGTTAGGAGGGGTTAAGGAGAGTTTTGGTTTGTAGGTATATGCGTGGTGCTAACAATTATGTTGTTTTCTTTTTTCTTTTTTTTTTTTTTTTTTTTTCCTTTTTTTTTTTAAAATTTTTTTTTTGCTTACGTCGTTTACAAAGACTGTTTGCTGACTTTAATTATAAGCTATGAGAAAACCTCTAGCTAACTAAACGCACGCATACATACGTAAACAACTCAGGCACCTGCACCTGCACCTGCACCATCTAGGTTGGTTTGTTTATAAACATGCCTTTAGTTAGACGCGTGCACACTCATACTTATGCATGACTCACTTTGCTATAAAATTCGTTATTTGGGCAATATGTATGTATGAGTGTGTGCGTGTGTATGAAATTTGTTTTAGACGAGTGCACACGCCCACTAGCATCTACGGAACAGTAAAAGAATTCACCTAGATTTTCTCTAAGCCTGTTTGCTTTTCCAATTGTTATTATTATTGTTGTCGTTTGTCTGCAATTAACTTTTATTTTAAATTCCCAACATTAAAGCGCTTACTTTGCTCTCTCTCTCTCTCTCTCTCTCTCGTTTTGTAAGCTCCGTTGTGCTTGTGCATATACGCGTGTTTTTGGGGTTTGAATATATGTATGTGCATGTGGATTGATGCGGGTGCCTAGGATTGTGTGTGTGTGTGTGTGTGTGTGTGTGTGTGTGTGTGTGTGTATGTGAGTGCATATATATAAGTTTATATTTATATGTATGAGCGTATTGAAGAATATAAATGTGTATATGTTTGCCTATGTGTGGGCAATTGTTTTCATTGTGTTATTTATTTGAGGCCTTTGAGCATAACCGCTAATTTTGTTTAAATTTTCAAATTTTTTTATAACCGTGAACTCAACCTGGGAATATATACTGACTTCGTCACGCTATTCGTAACATTAAAGCAGTGGACTGGCCATGGGATAAAATCAAATCGCCTATGGATTACGATCATTTGATTCATTATTGCAGACCTAGAAATTTTGATCCGAGTCAAACGCAATATTTACGAAATAATTCATTAGAGTGATAACTTTAGTTACATAGTTACGATAGTATTATCTTGTGTACATTCAATACAGGGCCACTGTTGTAAATTTATGTTTAAAAAAAAAAAAAGGAAAAATTAAGAAACTCATAGGTATCAAAATCGTAACGCCGATAACCTCCTGAGAAGCAATTGTTTGCCTTTCTCGTTTGATCTTTGCTTAGCATCCCGCTGAAGGTGAAAATTTTACTACAAACACAAGAAAACAAAAATTTTTTCTTCATAAGATTGGCATATTTTAATTTATAGCGAAAAGTGAACCTATTGTCACAAGAGGATCTTATGTTGAAGATGTAGCAAAAATTTCAGAACAACTGCAAGAAAATTGAAGTAACTAGGGGTGCAGTGCTTTGTTGCTTTATCTTTAATCCTTCGACACCTTTATAATATGATTAATTTATTTGCTTTGAACATTGCTTGACGTGTAGCAGGACGGTATGCATAAATTTGTTTTTCCTCTCCAATCTATATTTCTATATAAATCATACGGAGAATTCGGAAAATCCATCTTACTGAACACTCGAAAGTTGCTTTCTCACAATTCTGATTTAATAAATAATAGTACAGTAGTATAAGATATCCAAAATTCGGCCAGAGAGGGCTAAAGATGCTGTAAGTTGTGCATTTATTTTTGTTTCATTCATTTCAATTTAACACAAGATCTCGTTGCAACACCTTTACAGTAAATTATTTGAATGGGAGAAAATTATGCTAATATATTATACAATAGAGTTAAACCAAACCATATTTTTATAATTAATGCCACGGATACAATTTAATTCAGTTTATAAACTAAAATGAAAAATAAAAACAGAACAATTTGACGAACAAAGGCAAAGTCACGATTCATTTAATTTTTTATAACAATATCGAAGACTTACAGTATATATGTGCTATTATCCGATCCAGTTGCAATAACGACAAGCGGCCTTAATGTCTACGTGATACTGAAACCTTTTTAAAACTTTCAAAAAGAAGGAAAGTTTACTATTTGGAAAAATTTGTTATAATAAAAATTTTCCTTTAATGAGAAACTGATTGTAATGCAAAAATCAAACCACATTTCTTTAATCAAATACTTAAACATATTGAGCTAAAAGAAAATTATAGTACATGCCCCCAGGGGAACAGGCAAAATTTAGTTGCTTGATGTATACACTTTGTAAGCCAGCAGTGAAAATGGCGGCAATTGAGAATTGAAATCATTCTAACCAAAGTCTTGATTCGATCCACAAAAATGTTAACAAATCGCTCCTGATACCCGCTCTTATATCGCACGAATCGTTTGCTTTGCGAATTTGCAAAAGACATTAAAAGCATCTCTCTCTCTCTCTCTCTCCGTAAATGCTTCCTTAACAAGCTTAGAAAGAGCTCTACTATCAATTGTTCTCCAATTAGGCCAAGTATGCGAGGGGAAAAACAAAATGAAACGACATCCGTTGTAATTTTATAGAGCGTAGAGAAATATGGAACGTACATACATGATTTTATACCTATAAAATCCTGCCGATATATAAGAGCTGCACTTTAACCTTGGCACGACGTAGGCGTAGGTGTATATGGTGCAAATACTATTTGAAGTTGAGTATACTTGTAGAGAGTGCAGTCCACTTGTGCTCCGATAAACGGAAACGTATTGCGGGGAATGTGACCGTGAACCACAAAGCCTTTAAACGCAATTAAATTATTAATTACATTGTAAGCGGACAAGTAGGAATCGTAAGGTACTTTGTCCTCGCTCATCTGAGTCTTACGGCGAGCGAACTCATCAGCCTAAAAAATTTCTTGTTCTTTTGATTTTTTGAATACCATTTGTGTCCAACGACTATCATTTCGTATTCCCATACGCAACGCATCAAGAGGAAGAAGGAAATGCAAATACTTTTAATGCTTTTTTTGTGATCAGAAAGCGAGCGAAAGCTTTAAAGAATCTTAGTAGGTTTTCAGCTTGGCAGGTGAACATGGGCTTTTCGAAGAGTGGAGAGAAGAAGTTCGAAAGTGGTATCAAGCAAAGCTATCCATAACGGCTTGCTCTCTCTCGTCTTTCTCTCTGTCTCTCTCCTCCTTCCTTATCCACTGCCTATTACTCTCTTTTATCGGATCATACGAATTAAGTGGATTTCTCTAAGGGACTAATAATAACGGCAACGAAACGTTAATCATATATTGTTGCAAAGCGATTGCAGAAAATAGTACATTCTGCGACAGCGGATATCAATAAAAGTTATTAAAATTTTCATTAAAAAGAAAAAAACAAACAACTTTATATTCTATATAAATAAAACCACAAAATCGTTTGCCAATAAACCGCAACAACAACTGCTAATACTTTAATGTGTAAACGTAAATATTGTGTTCGTTTTTAAAAATTTCATTTTAAATTCATTCCAAGCTGTCATATTCGTGGTATTAGTAAATTATATTTACAAACATGTATACAAGCATGTAAACGCTCCTTTATACACCATTGATTACAAATCAATATTTATATTACACACACAAACATACACAGACACAAACATACACACACACACACATATATATATATATATATATATATATATACACGAATTACTTTACGCTCGCATAAGCAGGTGCACGTAGTATTTGCATAGCCAACGCATGAATACATTACTTAAGCCACGAAAAGCTTATAAAAATAAATGCGTTAGAAAATGTGAAGCAAAAACAAAAACAAAAAAACAAATGATTAAACGCATAAGCTGAATATTATATTAAATCATTATTATCGCGTATTTATAATAACTAGAAAGATGAAGATTAATTTATATGGAGTTTAAATAAATATATATGTATTTATAATAATTTGTAAAAAAATTTGATATTATTTAAAAAGGTTTTTTTTTTTTTTTAATAAATGTAAATATCTTTTCTTTGTTTCTTTTGCTCTCATTTTAGAAACGGCTTTATTATTGCCTGCAGCATTGTCATACAGTCGCCATGCCAACGATAGTCATGATATACGACGCAATTTGCGTTTACGTTATCATGACTCGTACAAGCATAATCGTGAACTGGAGTAAGTAATTATAAAAATATTAATACATTAACGAGAATAAAAAGCCACTGAATGATTATTTATTCAGCCCATCTTGCACTTGAAAGCGACAATACCAATTTGTAATAATTTTATATATATATATATTTATTATTTTTATTGTTTTTTTTTTTTTTTTTTTGCTTCCTTTCACTTAAAAACTCTCTGTAATCTTATAAATTGTTATGAAAAGATAATTATAGAAGAAACATAATTTTTTTTTTTTTTTATTGTTAATTCAAGAGGTTGATTGTCGGCCGTAATCGCTTAATTAAAAAGGAATTTCGCGAAAAAATTCTCTGAATTTATATTTTTTGAAAATTTTTAAATTGTTGTTGTAAATGCAAAATTATAACCTGTAGCGGTACGGCAAACATTACTCTGCCTTTATATTTAAAAAGTTCACATTTGTGTTAGCACGTGTGTCCTCACGTATAGGATAAATTTTCACATTGGTTTTTATTATATTAATTTTGGGAGAAACGCTTCATTTTAGGGGCCATAAGATGATAGTGCTGATTACAAGCAAGGATAAGAAATATAACCGCAATTTCTGATCCATAAATAAGCAGCATTTCACTGAAATAAAATTGAAGCGTGTAGAAGCCGGCAACAACACCCTCAATAAGTTTCCGGAAATTGGATTAGGGTGACTAACCGACGTAGTTAGATTGCATCCTGCATTTATTTTTTATTAGAGCCCAGAGATAATGATAAATTTCCAATTTAGGCCGATTGCCGTCTACTATTTTTGCTATATAGGCATGTGGGCGTTGTAGGCGTGCTCTTTGAAATTGTAGGCGATATCTTCATTTCTGCGAATGGAAGAATGTTTACCACAGTTACTAGTAGTGCCATAAAAGGACAGATGGACAGACGGATATGCTTAGATGCATTCCAAATTTGAAATTGGCCAAGAGTTTATATACTTTATTGGGGTTTCACAAAAAAAAATGAAATTATAATACATTATAACATTACGTAGGTGTGGTCGACGGGCGCTACCATATTGCTCATAGAAATTACATTAAAATTTTTGTTAATTGATTTCTTGCAGTCTATGACTAATGAGCAAAAAATTAAGTTTTTATTCCTTTTGATAAACAGAGTTGTTATCCCTTTACGTAATACTATTGGCGAGTCCTTAGATATAATTGGCCCATTTTCAATGGACAGACGACCAGACGAGCGTGCTTAAATCGGTTCAGAATTTAATGAGGGATCTCTGAAGTTTCCTTCTGGGCGTTGCAAACGTTTTCACAACATGAATATATCCGCCATTCTACGCTGATGGGTGTAAAAGAACAACTAACAATAACCATATTCAACAAGAAGAATCTTTACAGAATGCGTACAAATTCATCTTTACTTAAGAACACAGTAGCCCCAAATCTCTTGAATGCCTCCTTGATATGATTGGCTTGCAGCTGACCAAGAAACTGGCACTCGGAAACTAAATTTCAAGTTTATGGTGATTCGTAGTAAAATCATTTTTTTTTTTCTCTTTTAATATGGCCAATCACTCAAGGGAAGTTCTCCGTTTCCTTTGTAGAACGCAGTAAATTGAAAAAAGAAAAATAGATAGAGGAGATGGTGGCTGCAACCTAGTGGATGTGCATCCAATCGATAAGTGTTATGCCTTTACCAACTTAGTTAGTAGATGATCCAATAATCGATTGAGCATTAACTCTTCTTTCGTTTGCTCGCCCAATACTAACTTAGATATCCCCTTTGCCCACTTTTCGATTTGATACAAGCAATTCCTCGCAAGCTGCTGAAAATATAAATGTAGCCGCACAGGAAGATCGTTGTTTACGCGAAACCTTTTCCCCTGGAAACGCTGTGTACATGTGTCTTATTCAGCTCATGTTATTACATCAACGTTTTCCCTCAACATTATCGACTTAACTCTGTCATCATCGTAGATAAATATTAAAAATTGAATTTAAAATCATTGTAGAGCCATTTTTGCTTGTTTATCAAAGATACCTGCACGAGAAGCTTCTATTTATAAAACGATATTCATAGACACTTGACCTCGCCCATTTTTCGCCCATTAATGAATAGCAAGGCGGCCATAGTCGACACTTTTATTACTACAAACAGAAATTGTTGCTCGCTACAAGACTTGCTGATTATTTATTGATTTTTGTTTGCAGAATTTGTTTCATGTACGTGTTTTCCTTTTTATAATTTTGTATTTTTTTTTTTTTTTTCTTTTTTCACTTTTTCCAATCACTTTTATTAATTAATAAAATTATACAGTAAGAGACTTCAAAGCCTTGTTAGTGTAATGAAAAGACATGAAATAGATAAAGAAAAGAAAAAAAAAAATATATTTTTTTTTATACGCATCACCATGGGATGGGGGATATGTTTATTTTATAAAAATGTTTGCAACGCCCAGAAGAAAACTTCAGAGGCCTCTTAAAATTTATATACTCTTGATCCGCCTTAAATTCTATATCGATGTATATCTGTCTGACCGTTTGTCCATCTGTATAATGTCGGTTATAAACGTTCTCCTGACCGCAAAAATGAATTCAAATTTGGCAGAAACATTGGAAATTCTTGCGATCAGGATTGATATTGAAAATACGTCAAATCGGTCGAAGGACAGATCTACAGTGCTACAGTGCGTAAAGCGGGGACACCTGTGGTGGAAAATGGTTTTTTTTTCGCTCATTACTCATAAACTGTAACAGATAAATATACAAAAATTTAAATGCATTTTTTATGGGCGATGCTGTAGTACTTACACACAGCTGGAGCAAATCGGCCACGCCTACTCAATTTTAGAGTATATCCAAATTTAATTTTTTTTTTCAAAACCTTTATAATGCGCAGAAAGAAGGTTCAGAAGCCCTATAAAGTGAATACCTTTTCAGCCAGTTACAGATCATATGCGTCTATTTGTCTGTCCGTATGTCCACACGCTCAATTATGTGATATCTGTGGTACAAACTCTCCCATTCGCAAAAAACGAAGATATCGCCTAGAAATTTGCAAAGCAGTTTGAAAGAGAAAGAGAAAGAGAAAGTTTGATCCAGTAGCAAGCTTCAAAAACTCCATAAAGCCCATGAAATCCTTTTTCAAATTTATTCCTAATAGTCTGCGATAGATGTATCGTCGCTATTTTTTGAGTAGGCGTACTTTTGTGTATTCCCTGTAATGAATAAATTTGGAAGAATGTACGTAACGTTCAAACGGGCACCGATTGACCTACCTTTCATTATACCAGCAGAGTATACGCCCTCAGTTCAATGTACCCTTCTAAAATACATGTTCATCCATATAAGACGATTTCGTATAACGTAGCAGAAAAATTGTGCCCGTCTTCGCACAAAATGGTAAAAGAGCCTCGTATAACTACGGTAAAAAAGTGAACAAGGCAGAAAATATGTTTTAATTAATTTTTATACGCTTCTTTCTCTCTCTCTCTCTCTCTCTCTCTCTCTTTTGAAAAAAAAAAAACATTTATCATTCAAAGGGCAGCAAAAATTGCTGGCATGTAATGTCTTCAGCGTGATTATTAAAGAATGTTATCTCAAGTATAACAATTAAGTTAATCACTTTGGACCTGTGAACGGCTCAGTGACTCGTGCACTGTACTTTTATGTGCGAACTGCCAAGAGATCACAATTTGCGAAATATTTCTCTCTTCCAAGTCACACTAGACATAGAACATATATTCTGTTAAGGAATTTCGTGTTTACACCCACCACTGTAAGATGGGGGTGTACTCGTTTTGTTCTTTTCCATAATGTATGTAACATCCAAAGAGAAGTTTCACAGGCCCTATAAAGTCTATATAGTCTTAATCAGCGTGAAATTCTGACGTAATTTAGCCATGTCTGTCCGTCTGTAAGGTGTGTGTTGTTGCGACTCTGCTGGCCGCAAAAATGAAAATATCAATTTTAAATTTGGTAGAAACATTGGAAATTTCTAAATGCAGTTTAGAATGAAAATGGTTGAAATTGGTCAGAGCAGAAGCCCGCAGTGGAGCGTGAATTGAACGCAACTCAGTTTTTTTTAACAAAACTTTTTGGATTTTTGCTCGTTGCTCGGAAGTTATTAAAGTTAGAAGGCTAATATTTTCCGCTTTTACTTTACGAAACACTCTATTCTTTAGGTCCAGAAATAGAACTAATCGGCCCTGCCCACCCAAAGTTACGAGTAATTAAATTTTTTTTATTTTTTTTTTTGACTTTTTTAAGGTTTAATGCTTACTGATCGTAAGGCAAATAAGACAGACCGCTTAAGACTATTTTGTTCACCTCTCAAACGAAAATATATGATCTGCCTAAATATGGCTTATGGTGGACACCGTGATAAATGTTTTCTTAATACTACCGAATGCGAAAAATGTAGTGATGGGTATGCGAGATTCGATCCACGTCAAATATAACTTGTTCATTTGTTTTTTTTCTTTGGCTTTTTTAATGAAACGCGACGACAAACACTTAGGCATTCGATGCCAACCCATGAACAGTAATAGAAAAGCATGAGTTTATAAATACAAAAATTGGAAATATTCTTATACCCTATAAATTCTCTATGTAGGTACTTGCACACCCATCACCGAAATATAAGGGGCCTGACTATTCATTCATTTTGTGAAAATGTGGGCGACGCCCAGTAGGAAGCTTCGGAAACCGTACAAAGTTTATATATTCTTGATCAGCGTCGAATTATGAATCGACTCAAGAATGTCTGTCTGTCTGTCTGATTGTCGATTTGTTCGTCTGTCTGCCTGTGTAATATCTGTGGTCAAGATTCTCCAGTTCGTAAAAATGAAGATATCGCCTACAAATATGCTAAAGCCATTATTATTGTGTATCAAAATGTAATTTATTTTTCAGTACCATTATAACGCGCAGAAACAAGTTGCAAAAACCCCCTCGAGTATTCAAATACTTGACCAATTTTAAATTTGCAATGCATCTAAACGTGTCCGTCTGGTCGTCAGCCCAACTTCGTAG